ATATATATATATATATAAGATAAAGGTACATGTAATAGCAAATGCCCTAAATTCAAAAGTTTTCAAGAGAAAAATAAAATGAGTAAAGAAAGAATTGGTTCTATACAAGTCTAATGCAATTCTAATAGTTATACAATTAATAATTTAAGTAATTCAGTAATAATTTTTTTTAAAAAGTGAAAGATTTTAAATTTTAATTGCATAATATATAGAGGAGATAAGATAAAAAATAAAAATATATATTATTATATAATTAAAATAAAAAGAGAAAAAAAAAGACATTTTAACATTAAAAATATTAAGTCATCCAATTAGAACCATTAAAATGTGAGGTATAGTATAAGTATTAATTTTATCAAATTTATTATATAATTATTATTAAATATTTTAATATTTTTAATATCAAAATATCTTAATTTTTTAATAAAAAAACTACCACTCAAAGAAATAAAAATTTTAAATTATATTGAGTTAATTTAAAGTATATATATTTATTTTAGTTATATAATAAAAAATAATTATCTCTCATCTCTTATCTCACATTACTTACATATTATGTGATTTAAATTTAAAATTTTTTATTTTTAACAAAAAAAAATAATTACTAAATTATTTATACTCTTACGAATTTAAAATATACTTTTAAAATAGTCATGACATAGAACGAAAGAGGTGCTGTGAAGAAAGGGGGAAGGGGCTGAATGGTTAATTACGACAAGGCGATGGTAAATATCTTCTCATAAAAGGCGCGTATGATATATTGGTCGCAAATGGTTAGTTACGTGGGCATGCATTGCGTGCAGCGCACGCTCTCCACATTCGGCCTCCCTTAGCTGTCAGAATTGCAATTGCGATCCAGCAATTCTACTTTCTCCTTCATTAAAAACCCAACAAAGAATCAAACCGCTTTCTCTGCTCCCTCTCTCTCTCTCTCTCCCCCAATTCTCCAGATCTATTTCGTCTCCTCCTCCAATTGAAGAAAACCGCCATGTCTTACGCTTACCTTTTCAAGTACATCATCATCGGCGACACCGGTATTCCTTCCTCCATTCAATCTTCTACTTTGTTTCGTCGTCTTCTCCAATCTTTTTCTCCGCCTTCAATTGATTACTCTCCGTGCGTGTGTGTGTGTGTTTTTTTTGCAGGTGTTGGGAAGTCGTGTCTTCTTCTTCAGTTTACCGACAAGCGATTCCAACCGGTGCATGACCTTACCATCGGTGTTGAGTTTGGGGCCAGGATGATCACCATCGACAACAAACCTATTAAGCTCCAGATATGGGATACGGTTAGTCTTTGGCTTCTCTTCTCTTCGCTTCCTATTAATCATATTCATATTCAGACCATGGGGATCACCTATGCCTTGGGCTTAATTCTGTCTGCTCTTAATCAGTTTCTTCAAATTTTGCATACTGAATTGATGTAGTATTACGAGTTGTTCCTTTGTTGTTTGATTCTTGTTTTGTATTGATGGTTTTCATCCAAATGAGAGAAAACCGAAAGTTTACGACTTTTTTGGGAAAGTTGTGGTTTTGGTCAGACTGGTGGGTTCTTTTGACTCCTGATTTTTTTTTTCTTTCTTATGCAAAACATAACTTCATTGATTAATAAACTGAATGGGAAACAATAATTGAACTCGAGGAGGGATGTTTGAATGCGTTGCTGCGGCGACTAAATTTGTTCATATTTCTCTTGATTTTTGAAGGTTCTTCTGTTCTATCGTTGTCTTTCATAACTGAAATCCTAAATTCTGAATTTTTCCTTTAAACTTTTCCAGGCCGGTCAAGAGTCCTTCAGATCTATTACCAGGTCTTATTATAGAGGGGCTGCCGGGGCACTGCTTGTTTATGATATTACTAGGTACACTTATTATCTGAATTTCGGTTTTCATTATAGGTTGTTGTTGACTGTTAATCTATCCTGCACCTGTGGTTTAAAAGAAGGCTTTTGTTAAGCCTGAAGTTCACTCTTGGGACAGTTCATTAGTTCTGTAAATTGTATTCTAGTAAGCTTTTATGGCATTCAAATAGTCCCTTTCAATTACCCCCTATTTTGTTTAATATCTTAAACTGCACACGCATTCTATAGAAGTTAATATGAATAAATTTTTAGCTCTGGGAGAATATTGCTGCCATAGTGACTCCGGTATCTGTCATTTTCGCATTCCCTAACTCCTTACCCTTACCTTATGAGGCATCAGAAGGCTTATGAGTTACGCTTGATGTAACTAAGTGCAAGCCTCACTCTATTCTCAGGCCATGATTTCATTCTACATTGTTAACCTCTAATGCTTGCCTTGCCTTGGTTGTGGAGGCTTTTCTTGTGTGTTTTTATAGAATTGTCATTTTTGTGTCCTAAGTGGAGGAATGAAGCTTGGCTTATTGAGTCTATTATTTAACTGTTCAGGAGGGAAACTTTTAATCACTTGGCTAGCTGGTTGGAGGATGCTAGGCAGCATGCAAATGCAAACATGACAATTATGCTCATTGGTAATAAGTGTGACCTTGCTCATAGGAGGGCCGTGAGCACTGAGGAAGGAGAGCAATTTGCAAAAGAGCATGGTTTGATTTTCATGGAGGCCTCTGCCAAAACTGCTCAGAATGTGGAGGAGGTGAAAAGTTCATAACTTCACATGCCAGTGAATGTTTTAGCATATAATCCTCATCTTCAAAAATTATGACGTCATGATTTGATCTATTTTTGGTATTATATTATTTATCTTATGGTTGCCATGCAGGCATTTATAAAAACAGCAGCAACAATATACAAGAAGATTCAGGATGGAGTTTTTGATGTATCAAATGAGGTTAGTCCTACTGATGTTGTCTTTTAGTCTCCTGGGTCCTAATGAAATCTTTGCTGGGAAGTCCTTTTTGTTCTTCCATTTGAATCTAAATTGAAACAACTTAATGAAATTAATGAGTTTTGCTTATTGAAGTTCGTGGTTGCTATGTGATATAATTTTGGTGAAACTATATGCATCTCAATAGGGCAGTGAAAGGGTTTGATTGGGTTTTAGCTTCTGAGGAATTTGAAGGGAGAATGGAGAAATATCATTGTTTTCCACTTCTGAGATATGTTATGAAATGTTTATTTAAAAAAAAAAAATCAAAATTAAAATTTCAACACTATTGTAATGAAGTTCGAAAGCGTAGTGTCATGTGTTATTTTCATCACTGCTTCTGATGACCATTTGAGTGTGTATGTTAATATCTTGAAAACTCTCTTGGTGGTATGTCTTAATCAATTTTGTACCATTTTCACTACAAAAATCAACATCAAAATTGTTGAAATGAAGAGTCTAAGTATTTATGTGCTTGGGAAGCAACAAAGTGTTGTATTGAATTTGTCAGTTTTCATAGCCTGTTATTGTGTACTAAGAATACTAGAAATACGTATCAATTGTGATCCATTGAGTGGATATTTTCCAGTTACCTTAGATGCTTCACCACTATTTAAGCCTTAAAATTGCCATACCTTGAATTCAAAATTCTCTCCTTTTTGTGGTATTATCTTATCACGAGTAGAATTGGTAAGAAGGTGGTAACTTATAGAATGGTGAAAAGATGATGTCCTTTTTTGAACAACATACTGTCCAGTTTGACAGAAAGGTTTTAATTCATTATGGAAGTACTGATTTTCAAAGTCTATTTGTAGATAAACTTTTCAAAATTGTAATTCTTGATTCCCGGTTGATACTGACTCATCTTCCATGGGAGAAGAATGCCAAGTTTCATTTGCTTTTGTAAATGAATGGAATCTGTAATGAACACTGCTGACACTTTGTGTTGTTGGTTTGCAGTCTTATGGAATAAAAGTTGGTTACGGCGGAATCCCAGGGGGACCATCAGGAGGCGCAGGTGGCTCTCCTTCTCAAGGTGGAGGCTGCTGCACTTAAAATTTCACTTGGGTCATTTCCAAAACAACTGCAACTGTCTATTATCTACAGGGCTACACTGTTTTACATTCTTTGTCCATCATTTCCCCAAGAAACCATCAGCCTCAGTAGTATTTATTGTTTGGATCCCCACACATACTATTATTTGTGTGAAATTTGTACAATCTTTCTTGTTGCATTCTCTATTTGATTGTAAATTTGACCCCTATTCTAGTTACTCTTATCTGTAGTTTGGTGTTGAAATTTGTGAGATAAAAAAAAAAAAAGAAAAGAAGGAAACATCAAGGTTGGATTCTTATTTATTATTTCACTAAAGTTCATTTTGGCATGAACTGGCAATTTCGGATGTCGTTATTTCCAGTCCGGACTGACTGTAAAGAACAGAGATATTGTTTTTGCAGTAAATTCTAGGTGAGCCTGAAAAGTGTATTTTCGCAGGGAAGATCCAAACTTTATCAGAAAATGAAACAACTTTTTTGAGAAAGGATGTTGAAGGAGAAAATTGAAATAATGACGACAAAAATAAATAAATAAATTCCAACCCTTGGGCCTCAGTCTCCCCCCCTCTTCTGCTCTCAGCAAGAACGAGAGAAAATATTTATTTATCCCAAATTGTCCTCCTCCAGCTCCGATCTTCCACTGACGAGAAAGGTACAGAAAATACTATTCAGATTTCAGATTCTCAGATCAGATGAAACTTTTTTACTTATTTTTATAAGTAACTGATTCTGATCTGAATCACCCCACCAGATCCATCATTTTTCGCTTCATCTACTCTCTCTTCTCCACTCTTCTTCTTCTTCTTCTTCTTCCTTTCCATGGCGACCCCCAATCAACAGCCACCGCAAGGTGGGGCCTTTGATATGAACAAGCTCTTCAAGCCTTCTTCCGGTCCTGTGAATTTGAATATCAGCAATATGATTGCAGCTACTCCTCCCAGTCCCACCACTTCCAATCTCACTACATCTCCGTCGTTCCCTGCCCAATCTTCAACCCCTCCTCCTCCTGCCTATCTCACGCCTTCCTCTTCTTACCCTCCTCCGTCTGGTCCTTACCCTTTTCACCACCCTCACTATCTCCCCTCTTACTCACCCCTTCAACAACACCAGCACCCACATCCCCTTGCTAACATGCATCAACTCAACAGACCCCCAATCTCGTATCCTCAACCTTCTCCGCCTTCAAACCCTAGTTCCGGAAGCGACCTCTTGATCACCTTTTTCGGCAATCAAAATCAGTCCAGTTTGTCCCCTTCTCCTTCCTCTGCCGATTTTTCCAATCCTCCTGTCGCTGTCCCTTCTGCCCCACCCCTTACTATGCCGGGCGGTGGACCGACTCCAGTTCGGTTGCTCAGCAGCAAGCTGCCCAAGGGCAGGCATTTGATTGGAAGCAATCTCGTTTATGATATTGATAAGAGGATGCAGGGTGAAGTGCAGCCTCAGCTGGAGGTCACTCCCATTACTAAGTATGCTTCCGATCCTGGACTTGTTCTTGGTCGACAAATTGCTGTTAATAGGAATTATATTTGCTATGGTCTTAAGCTTGGCAATATCCGTATCCTCAATATCAACACTGCCTTGAGATCCTTGCTTCGTGGCCACACCCAGGTGCATATCTGCTTTGGTCTGTTGTGCTTTTAACTTCTATTCTACTACTGTATATATTTTCAAATAAGCTAATATTCAGTCTTAACTTCTATGGTTTGAGTTGGTTGACAAGCAGTTGATGAATTATGACAAGTGCAAATTGATAATAAATTGTTTTCTGTTGTTATTCTATCATTTTTTTTTTTTACAATATAGGGAAGCCTGTCACTTGATCTGGTATATTTTTTGCACTTTTTCTTAATATGCCCAATATGTATGTAGGATTTGTTTTTGCCATTTTTAACAGTTCTCTACTTAAGAATTTATGGAGCGAAGTCCCTTAAAAGCCATTTTTAGGCAACGTAGGAGTTCATATCATGATGGGAAACTGGTTTTAGTCCAAGATTAACCACATCTATAAATCAACATTAGTGATTCAGAAACTTATATCTTATGTGAGAACTACTTCATTAGCTTTCACACAGCATACTGGACAGGTTAAAAGTTCAAACTCTTACAAGTTTTCTATGTTGGGTGTGGGGGTGGTGGGTGGGGAATTGTTGTTATCTCTTTACAATGGTAGATTGGTGGGTACTTCATTCTGTAAATGCATGGATTCCCTGACCTTCTCTTTTTTTTCCATCAGATTGTCATATTGTTTATTTTGTCTGATTGAAAATGGAAATAGGAGAATACTCATGCAGCTAGAGAATCTATTAACAAATACATCTATTTATCAGTATGAAAAATAAAAATAAAATAATTAAATACATTTATTTATCATGAAGATGATGCATGATTTGATGAACCAGTTCATTCTTTAAGGCCTATTGTGCATTCTATCTTTTAAATATGAAGTATAAACTGTGGTATATTAAAAATAATCTACATAAAAGTCCCTCAGTAGTTTGTGAAACAATGATTTACCTTTTTGGGTCTCTATCTATCATGGTGTTATTTATGGATGTTATTTTTCTTCTTGATTTTCTTCTTCTTCTTCCTTCCTCCTTTTTTTTTTTGTGTGTAGAGAGTAACTGATATGGCCTTTTTCGCTGAGGATGTGCATCTTTTGGCCAGGTAGCATTTACCATTGAACAGAGTGAAATCATTTATATATATATATATATATATATATGGATATGTTAACATTTCATCTTCTGCAGTGCGAGTGTTGACGGACGGATTTTTGTATGGAAGATCAATGAAGGCCCTGATGAGGAAGATAAAGCACAAATTTTGGGCAAAGTTGTCATTGCCATTCAGATGGTAGGACAAGGGGAATCAGTACATCCACGTGTGTGTTGGCATCCTCACAAACAAGTAATAATGGGTTTTATAATTCATTTATCAAAGAACTTGGATTTCCTGTTGTTTTTCTTCTTGTACACATTTCCTATGTCTGGCCACATGTTATCATCCCTGCATCTAATTGTTCAAGAAAAATTGTTTGACAGGAAATTTTGATGGTTGCTGTTGGAAATCGTATTCTCAAAATTGATACCATGAAGGGTGGAAAAAATGAAGGATTTTCAGCAGAGGAACCACTTAATTGTTCTATTGACAAGCTGATTGATGGGGTTCAGCTTGTTGGTAAACATGATGGCGAGATTACTGAATTGTCAATGTGTCAATGGTTGACCACCCGTTTAGCTTCAGCTTCAATAGATGGCACGGTTTGTTTTTGCTGTTCTTCGTCTTTGTTTATTTTTCATTTACTTGTTATGCTGTTAGATCCTCTAAAAGCAAAATGAAGAATGTTAAACTTTAAAAATACAAGTAGAACCTACTCTCTTCACATCCCATACCCCTTTCCTTCTGTCTCTCATCCTTTCCAAAAGGTCAAGTGTGCCTGGATCTAAAAAATCTTAGAAAACCCTTCTCTCTCTCTTTTCTTCTTTGTCTTCTTCTTCTGTTTTTTTTTTAATCTTCATTGAATGGTGGTTTCCCTATTGCTGCATTGAAAGAGTATGCCTGTTAAATAGTTCAATCATAGTTACTAGTTATTGCAGAGTTATTTCATGTTTGTATATATGACTATTTTTTAGCATCAATATGTTTAACATCTTGGATTCACTTGAATCAATTTTTGCACTTGGTTGGGTTTCATTTGGGGGCTGGTTGATTTCTATTCAGTTTTCTTTTCACACCAACGCTCTTCTTCTCTCACAGGTAAAAATTTGGGAGGACCGTAAAGCATTACCATTGGCAGTGTTGAGACCCCATGATGGTCATCCTGTTAATTCAGCAACTTTCTTAACTTCTCCTCACCGTCCTGATCATATTGTTCTTCTCACAGGGGTAACTTCTCGGCTTTCATCCTTTTATGGAACATTGTATGTGGTTGTGTTATTTCAGGAGAGTTGTGTCTGATCATGTTAAGAATTTCTGTCTTGGAACAGAAAGTATTTCATTTCTGTTTTGGATTGTTGCAATGACCTGGTATCATTATCCTTTGAACATGACAATTATACTTCATTTAAATGATCTCCTTGTTCTATATTTTTCAGATTTAGTTTGTTTCCTATTATCATTTAGTCAGTGTGAAGGCTAAGTTAAGTTGTTCATTTACAGGGGCCATTGAATAGAGAAGTGAAGATATGGGCCTCTGCCAGTGAGGAGGGCTGGTTGTTACCTAGTGAGGCTGAATCATGGCAGTGTACTCAAACATTGGAGCTGAGGAGTTCTGCTGAAACCAAGGTTGAGGATGCATTCTTTAACCAAGTTGTGGCACTGCCACGTGCAGGACTATTTCTGCTTGCAAATGCCAAGAAGAATGCTATATATGCCATACATATAGATTATGGGCCAAACCCAGCTGCAACCCGCATGGAGTACATAGCTGAATTCACTGTAACAATGCCTATATTAAGTCTTACTGGAACAAGTGACAGTTTGCCTGGGGGAGAACACACGGTACAAGTTTACTGTGTCCAAACACAAGCTATCCAGCAATATGCACTGGACTTGTCTCAATGCTTGCCACCACCCTTGGAGAACATGGAGTTGGAGAAAACAGACTCCAATTTTCCTCCCATGTTTGATGCATCTAATCCTGATGGTTCTGCTGCTATGGAATCATCTCATGGAAGTAAATCCAATGAAATGCCTGCAGCTAACTCAATTCCAATGCCACCTATACTTTCAAGCAACTCTGAAAGTGCCCACATAACAAGTCTTCCTGAAAGATTGGCTTCTACAGAGCTTACCACCTTGCCAGAGGTTACTACCTCAGGTTTGGAAAATAAGGCTAGCGCTGTGCCATCTAATAGCACTTCTGAAAATCTCCATTCTGCATCACCTTCAGTTCCACTGAGTCCTAGGTTATCTCAGAAATCATCTGGTCTAAGAAGTCCATCAAATACTGATCATGGTGGTGACCATTCAATGGCTGATTATTCAGTTGACCACAGAGTAGATGCTGCCAAAGAGAGTAAGGCAGAGATGCCTTCCTTAGGTGACAATTTGCAAAAAAGTGATAAAAATATAGTCCAGAATGACATTTCTATGGTTCCAGACCCTCCTGTGGTTTTTAAACATCCAACTCATCTTGTAACACCATCGGAGATATTGTCTACAGCTACTTCATCCCCTGATACTGTTAAACTTAGTCAGGGCATGAATGCAGGGGATGTGATGATTCAGGATGTGGTTATCAGCAATGATGCAGAAAGTGTGGAGGTAGACGTCAAAGTTGTGGGTGACATGGGATCAGATCAGAATAAGGAAACTGAATGTCCTAGAGATTCTCCTATCATCGCAGAAAAAAAGGAGAAAGCATTCTTCTCTCAGGCCTCAGATCTTGGCATTCAGATGGCAAGAGATTGCTGTGTGGAAACTTATAATGTAGAGGGAGCTCAACAAGCTAGTGATGTTGGTGTTTCAGGTCCAGCAGAAAAGCATGCCATCGGCAATGAGGGAGAAGAGCAGAATTTGTCTAAAGATGTTCCTGCCAAGGTTGGCGATTCAGAAACCCACGTCACTGCTTCACATCCTCCAGCTTCTGCAGCAAAAGGTAAAAAGCAGAAGGGGAAAAATTCTCAAGTATCTGGCCCACCTTCACCCACCCAGAGTCCATATAACTCAACAGATTCATCTAATGAACCAGGTTGCAGTTCTGGTGCAACCTCAAGTGATGCTGCTCTGCCTCAATTAATGGGCATGCAGGATATGATTGAACAGGTATTTTATTGCAGGAAACACCAACTTCTATTCTGTTAGATATGAATAGACATGTTTCTGGGCAGTTATTCAAGAGTGTTAACATTATGCTTTTGTGAAGGCATTAGTCTCCTATATGTCCATTTACTCCATTATTCCTTTCTCCCTCCTCTCTGCCCCCACAGGAAACCAATCTGAGCTAATGTTCAGTATGGGAGATGGGAAGCTGAATAATCCTCTTAAAAAATAATCAGTATAGAGATGAACCAGTAGCTTACATGTACTTAAGTTAACTGGCACAAGTCTAATTCCTTTCCTCACCTTTTTCTTAAATAATCTCTTTCCTCCTCCAGTTTTTACTAGCTTGCTATTGCTTTGTTTTCACCTGTAGATTCTTAAGCATGTGCAAAATATGCATTTCCTTTGTCTAAAGGATTTCTGTGTTGTCAATCCTTTCAGTTTTGCCTCTTGTAGATCCTTTTTCCTTACTTTAAAAAAAAAAAAAAAGAAAAAAGAAAAAAGAGAGAGAGAGAGAGAGGAAGAGACTTCCTGTGGATATCTATTAGTAGATTGTGTGTGTGCATGTGCTCGTGTGTGTGTTTGTCTGTGTGATCATAATCTCTAGTTGAAATTATATTCATGCAGTTGGTGAACATGCAAAAAGAGATGCAGAAGCAGATGAATACAATTGTCTCCACCCCAGTTAACAAAGAAGGTAAAAGACTTGAGGCATCCTTGGGCAGGAGTGTTGAGAAAGTTATTAAGGCTAATATGGATGCTTTGTGGGCTCGTTTCCAAGAAGAAAATGCAAAACATGAGAAGTTAGAAAGAGATCGTACACAACAGATAATCAATCTGCTCACGAACTGCATAAATAAGGACTTGCCAGGCATTTTTGAGAAAACATTGAAGAAGGAGATAGCTACAGTTGGTCCTGTGGTGGCTCGTATGATTACTCCTATTCTAGAGAAAAGCATAGCATCTGCTATTACAGAGTCATTCCAGGTTTGGAAAATTTCAAAGTTTGTTAATATCCCAGGCAGTGTTTGGGTGTCCCGTTGGAATGAAATTTTCATTTATTTGGACAAATCAATCCTTATTAATGGAGCTGTGATTAGAAATATGAAATCTATTTTCATATTGCAGGAAGTTTAAAGTTGATGTCATGTTGGAAAAGCACCATTCTCCAACTTCATTTTCCTTCATTTTAAATCAAAATTTAATTCAAGCCTAGAATTGATTTGCAAGTATTTTTGGCTTCATAATTAATGATTTCTACCCTTTCAAATGTTTGCAAAGCAAAACATAGCTATTAAATTTTCCAGTGCAAGTTCCAATCAATGGGATTGTTTTGGTATATATTCTGCAGAAAGGAGTAGGAGAGAAGGCAGCTAATCAATTAGAAAAATCAGTCAGTTCAAAACTTGAAGCCACAGTGGCCAGGCAAATCCAAGCACAATTTCAAACTTCTGGAAAGCAAGCTCTTCAGGTATATTTTGTTTAATATAAATCCAATCAGTTAGAGTGCTTGTTAGGCTATTTTTTTTTCTTTTATTGAGTTGTTTTAAAGCTCAGTGTCCTGTGGAGTTCTTTTCGTGATGGAAATATACTTTATTGCATTATGCTTAAAGTAAAAGGACAAACACCTCATTGCCTACAGACAGGATTATTCTTTGCTTTATTTTCCCTGAAATGAGAAATTTTGAGGGGTTTCACTTTCATATCTTAGAATTCACCTCAGTTGGTAATTTTATATGATAATTGACTTGAATAAGTAAGGGATTCTATTTCTCCCCTTTTTATCATTTCTTTGGTGGATGAACAAACACATAAATCTTTAGTTGAGTTCGGGGATTTCTTTTCCTGGTGGTGCTAATTAGAAATACTGAAATATGTGCTTGCAGGATGCATTGAGGTCTTGCTTGGAAGCTTCCATTGTTCCTGCATTTGAGATGTCGTGCAAGTCTATGTTTGAGCAAATTGATGCTACATTTCAGAAAGGGCTTATCAAACATACAACTGCTGCTCAACAGCAGTTTGAGAGTGCACATTCTCCACTGGCCATTGCTTTAAGGGTATGGTAGCTTAATGATATCTTGCTTTTTTTTCCTTTTCTTTTTTCTTTTCTTTTTTTTGAAATTGTAGATTTTTACATCAAAAGAAATGGTTGCCTTGTTAGTTTCACCCACTTACTTGATTATATTATTCATTTTGTGTAATCTTAGTTGGGTGAGGTTAACAATCTTGGATTTAAATGAATATAGACTGCTAAAAGTATGAATCGTCTATATTATTTGATTAGTTTTGTATCATGCAATGTTAGCATTGAATTCTTTGTTAGTTTTCGGAGAAAAAATAAGAAATATTTAAAAGTTGGATTGAGTGATAGAGGTGTCTTTCATTGACTCTCAACTATATTTGATGTAAAGTCCTTTCCCCATGTTATTTTATTTTGCTAAGATATTTTTTAATGCAGCCTTTTATTTCCTAGCATGAGGGTTTATTTGTTTCACTGCAAGATGATTTATGATACACATGCTTTGAATAAAACTGTGAAAAGGGGGCATTTACCTCTATTGCAAGTTTGGCTGAGTTAAATCATTTAGTAGCTATAATACTTTCGCATGTAACATGGGATGTTTTGCATTTGCAGGATGCCATCAATTCAGCAACATCAGTCACTCAGACATTAAGTGGAGAGTTGGCGGATGGGCAACGTAAACTCTTAGCTATTGCAGCTGCTGGGGCCAACTCCAAAGCCGGAAATCCCCTGGTAACACAGTTGAGTAATGGACCATTGGGTGGTTTACATGAGATGGTGAGCACTCTATCTCTCTCTCTCTCTCTCTTTGCAATCCTTGTTTTTGGTGAAGAATGAATGTCAATTGTGAATACAATCTGCAAATAATTTTTAGTCAGTTGCCTGAACTCTGTGGGTTGTATTCATGCGACAGCCTGAGCCTCAACTGGATCCAACAAAAGAACTATCTAGATTGATAGCTGAGCGGAAATATGATGAAGCATTTACTGCAGCCCTGCACAGAAGTGATGTCACAATTGTTTCCTGGTTGTGTTCTCAGGTAGAGCTTCTTTTCTCATATGCATTCCCATAAGTTGTGAACTCTCATTTTAGATGACCTAAAGTTGGAAAGTTTTGATAACTATTCTCAAGTCCCGTATGGTTGGCTATTTTTCTGTCTTTATTGTTTGCTATATGTGCATTTACTTGTGCCAAAATCTTTCTCCTCAATCACCATTTGTGTACTAATGGAGGCATGGCATGACGCTTGGTGGAAGGAGTTTGGGTTCTGAACAATTTTTATTTCTGGAAATCTGTCCTTTTTTCTGTTTTTCGTTGGTATTTCTAGCCCTATAAATTTCACCCTTTTAATACATATACGCTTGATAATATGTTGATATGTGGAGCACTGAAGGGGGTTAAATGCCTCCATAATGTCTGAAGTTCTTTTTCCTGGCTATCGTTTAATGTTCTGCTGAGGATACAAAATAAACAACTTCACATTTTCATTGTATTCTCTATTCACCAGGTTGACCTACAACTTATTCTGTCAATGGTACCACTCCCTCTGAACCAAGGAGTTCTCCTGGCTCTTCTCCAGCAATTGGCATGTGATATCAACAATGAGACCTCTAAAAAGCTGGCATGGATGACAGACGTGGCTGTTGCCATAAACCCTTCAGATCCAGTGATTGCTATGCATGTTCGTCCCATCTTTGAGCAGGTATACCAGATACTGAGTCATCAACGTAGCCTACCCACCATATCTCCATCAGAAGGCTCAAGCATTCGCCTTCTCATACATGTCATAAACTCCGTGCTGATGAGCTATAAATGATTCTTGCTTCTTGTCCTGATGTTTTGTGCAAACTTGTAATGACATTTGGTTTATACTTTGTATAGTAATGTAGGGACTTGCAGGGAAAATTTGAAAAGGGAACGAATAATTTCATAATTTGAGTCTGTATGGTTGCAATTTGTGTGGAATATTAGAGTTTTTGTTTCTTTTATTCTCCTTCTCATTCATTACTTGCCATGGGATTCAAAGAAGCAACCTTGGTTTCTGGATTCAGCCTGCAATAGCGCAATGGGCATATGCTAGTGGTGGCAACTTTCTTGGATTAAGGATCTGAGGTTGGTTTTTGGGACAACAGATAACTGGCTACACCTCACACAAGACATCTGTTTATTCTTCTTCTTCTTCTTTCCTTTCCTTTTTTTTTTTTTTTCTTTTTTTTTAATGTTGGCTTAAACTGGATATCTCTTAAATTTTGAATTTGAAAATTTTATAGTTAATATTGTAAGCTTTGTACAATTAATATTTTTTATTTAAAAATTTACTCTTAATATTTAATATAACTATTTATTTAATATCACCAAATACTTACTTATCTAATGTCACTCTATATTTGTAAGTTTAGAATGAGGTGATACCATAACATTGCCGTTTCCAATTATGCTTGTTAGCAGAAGAAAAGTATGGTATATGAGACGTTGGCTGGAGGGAGGGCGGAAAAGTCCGAGTCGAGCCGTGAGTAATTTGAACTATAAAGCTGGGCAGTGGCGATACGCTAACGCCTTTCTGAACCATGATCAAATATAGTTGGCGTCGCCACTTAAAAAATGCTCACTTCCATCGTCCCCAGTTTTGCACGTCTGTCCTCCCTCATGACGACTTCTCAGATGCCCAAGATTCTTCCTGTATCATCCAACATAAAGACCTTCTCCGCAAGAGCCGCCACCCTTCAGGGACAGGCCTTTATATTCTCGACCTTGTCGATAGCGGTTCATTGGAGCCCAGTCGAACTCTCTACAACCTATTGCTCAAAAGATGCACCCACTTGAACAGGCTCAAAGAAGGTAGAATCGTTCATGCCCACATCACCAATTCCCATTTCGGAGATGATGTTGTTATGCATAATACCATCCTGAACTTGTATGCAAAGTGTGGTAGCCTGGATGATGCCCGCAGGCTGTTTGATGAAATGCCTGTTAAAGATATGGTTACTTGGACTACCCTTATTACTGGCTACTCCCAGCATGATCGGCCTGTTGATGCTCTTCGCTTGTTTCCTCTAATGCTGGGGCAGGGTTTGGAGCCTAATCAATTCACCTTGTCCAGCCTTCTAAAGGCGTCGGCTTCCAACACTAGTGATCTGCACGGCAGACAACTCCATGCATTTTGTTTTAAGTGTGGGCATGATTCCAATGTTTATGTAGGCAGTTCGCTCTTGGACATGTATGCTCGGTGTGGGAGCATGGATGAGGCTCAATTGATCTTCCACAGCCTTGATAGTAAGAATGAGGTTTCATGGAATGCTTTGATTGCTGGGCATGCAAGAAAGGGTGAAGGGGAGCATGCACTACGTCTGTTTTGGAAGATGCTGAGAGAAGATCTTGAGCCTACGCATTTCACCTATTCAAGCATTTTTGGAGCATGTGCCACCACTGGGTCGCTTGAGCAGGGCAAATGGGTTCATGCCCATATGATCAAATCAGGTGGAGAGCTCGTAGCTTTTGTGGGAAACACCCTCCTTGATATGTATGCAAAATCTGGTAGCATTGAAGATGCTAAGAAGGTTTTTGATAGGTTGGAAAAACGAGATGTAGTTTCTTGGAATTCAATGCTTACTGGATATGCCCAGCATGGGCTTGGAAAGGAAGCAGTGCAATGGTTTGAAGGAATGCTGAGAATTGGAATTGCACCTAATGATATTACATTCCTCTGCCTTCTCACTGCCTGTAGCCATGCTGGAATGCTGGATGAAGGAAAATACTATTTTGAGTTGATGAAGAAATACAGGATAGAGCCTCAAATTTCCCATTATGTAACCATTGTTGATCTTCTTGGTCGAGCTGGTCTTCTTGAGGAAGCTGAGATGTTTATAATAGAAATGCCAATTGAACCCACTGCTGCTGTATGGGGAGCCTTGCTTGGTGCTTGCAGGATGCATAAGAACATGGACTTGGGTGCTTATGCTGCTGAACGTGTTTTTGAACTTGACCCCCATGATTCAGGGCCCCATGTCTTGCTAGCTAATATATATGCCTCTGCTGGTAGATTGGGAGATGCTGCTAAAGTGAGAAAGATGATGAAAGAGAGTGGGGTGAAGAAGGAACCCGCATGTAGTTGGGTTGAGATTGAGAATGCAGTGCACACATTTGTGGCAAATGATGATGCTCACCCACGGAGAGAGGAAATACGTAAGATGTGGGAGGAGATTAGTGGCAAAATCAAGGAGATTGGATATGTTCCAGACAGTAGCCACGTGCTTTCCTATGTTGACCAACAGGAGAGGGAAGTTAAGCTGCAGTATCATAGTGAGAAACTTGCTCTGGCATTTGCACTTCTCGGCACTCCTCCTGGATCCACCATTCGGATCATGAAGAATATAAGAGTTTGTGGCGACTGTCATTCTGCAATTAAATTTGCGTCAAAGGTGGTGGGGAGGGAAATCATTGTGAGAGATACCAACCGGTTCCACCACTTCCGAGATGGCCGTTGTTCTTGTGGGGACTACTGGTAGCCCACTATAGAATCTGAGGAGTAACTGTCAATGCATACATTTGCTCTTGATCCATATATTTCTGAACATCAGTCTGGCATGGTTTTGAAAGAGACCTCAATCTTCTGTTTTGTGATGAAAATAACTTCTGGCAGCCTGGAAAATGAGATCTAACGGCTTAGATCAAATTGAGACATGGAGTACGACTTGACATCTTCAATGCAGTCATCTCCTGCCTACCCTAGGGAAATGGTTTGTTCCTGTAAACTACATTCACTTCCAGGGCAGAGACCCAGAAACTAATGTAACAAAGCACATAATTACCTTCATTTTTGCATATTTCACAAGCAGAATGGAATAGCAAGGTGGGAGTTCTACAACAAAAGAGATGAAATATCCTTGGGATTGAGCCAAGTTTGAATTTTTTTGGTATATGGATACAGAGAAAAAATCAATATGATACTGGTTCATCTTTCTCGTATTATTGTTCACCCTTCTTTCTTTTTTTTACCATTTTTATCACTAATAGAAGCTGCAGTAGGGCTGATCCTGCTGCATCCAGAGTCATATGGTTGGAACTTGGATTTGTTTGTATCACTCAATTCCCAATGGGTGAACCATTTGTAGCTATCATATTTCACTATTTAATTGATTTTTTTTTGGATCAGCTTGTAATTGATTTGCATTATATTGTGAAGCAAGTTGTTTGTTTTAAGTGCAGGCTGATGTTGCATGAGATGGAGCCCTTGAGGATGATTTTGTTTAAGGTAAACATGGAAGGGTGGATGTTACGTAAGATTTTTCAGTTAAAGAGGGAGTCCACAGTCCACACTTTGATGTTATAATAATCAGTAGTTTTTCCTGAAATTGTTGAAAGGGTGACAAATGTAGCCAAAGAGAGAGAGAGAAAGGGTGATATTACGGTCGGGGAAATGTGATGCTAAAAATAAGGTAGAGGGATGGAAGGATGAGGATTCAGGCAACCAGAAAAATAGGAAACAACCCATTGGGTTTCTCTGTTGCAGCTGGCCGGTAAAGGGAGTGTTTGAGAAATGAGTGTATGTGGTTGAAACGGCTTTGCTTATAATCCCGTGCCGTGTGAGCAAACATTAATCATCTCACCTTCATCATTCCCACACCACTTTGCATTCAAACACAGGTAACACAATCATTTACGTCAATTTTATTAATCAATTCATTTCAATCACCTGTTCGTTGATCGTCTCTGCAGGTTCAAAATTTCCTTTATCCAGCATCATATGCATGAATGTTTTGCATTCAAAATCTCATCATGTCGCATAGATATATTTTCCAGATTTTAGTTTCAAATCCTTTCTTTATTGGTGAAATGGGACATTATGCTTTTTTTCCTTTTTCTTTTGACAGAGATGGAATGGGAGAACAAGAAGAGAAGACGAGAGGAGGAAGACAATCTGGACAAGTCAGCAAAGAAGCAAGATATCAATCATTATGATCATAATAGTACAAGTGATGTAATTGAAGAGAGTGATGGTTATTTGTCACCTGAAAACAATTTGGCATTAGGAGTATTTGATTTCCCGTGGTTGCATGAAGATGAAGGCATGATCTGGAAATTAGAAGAGTGCAATTTTGAAGACACCTTCTCATCATCACTGGAGAACAACACCACCTGGTTTGAGTTTTCTGGGCAGAGTTGCATGTTGGAAACGTGCATCACTTTCCCAGAGTACAAGTTTGAGGAAAATGTTTTGTGGCCGTTGAAAGGCGACGTGGGGCTGGAAATGGACTGCATCTGGGGATGCCTGCAACAGGGTCAGCAGGGTGCTTCTAAATCTAATGAATGACTATGCCGAGTACTGACCCATTTTTGTTAATCAGTCGTCCTTTTTTTTATTATTATTTTTTTATGGGGGGCATTTTGTCCATAAACATTTTGTTACTACATCTCTTGCTCACTGGTTAACATCAAAATCAATGGAAGATTGAAGATATATACACGAAAAAGCGGTTTTTAGTCTAACCGGTGAAAAGATGTCACTTTGAACAATCATAACATCTAGTTTTAATTTGTCTGGTAAAAATTCTTAGTCTATATAATTATTATAGTCCTTTAAATTTGACCCACATCCATATTTAAGGACTTTAGTTTGAAATATAAAATGAGGGTTCTCAATTTACAATTGGGTTTAAAATATATAGAAACTGACG